CCTAAAATCTTTCAAACAAGTAGCATCTGGCCTCTGGGTATCCTCTATGTCTTGCTAAGTGACTCCAGGCCCCAAACTAGAGGCAGGCAGTAGCAGTTTGCAGCTTGCCTTCTCCTGGACACCTCTTAGCCCAACACAAAGTAGCAGCCATCTTCAGATGGCTTTGTAGCTTTTGCCAGGTGGCCCTGAGCAGGGCACAGGCAGTGGCTGGCTTTGGCCTGCAACTCCTTGGAGGGCCCAGAGCCAGGGAACACAGTGGACAGTTTCAGATCACAGTAGATTATAACTCAGCCACCTTCACAAGTGACTCACTCAAGGGGTGGACTTGGTGGGCACCAAAGCCCCAGTGAAGTAAGCTTTGCTCTGTTGAGGTTAGCCCCTGTACAGTACAGTAGCTCTTTTGCTGTTGTCCCAGCTGGTCCTCCCAGCCAATGGGCCTGGGGGTCAATCCTTCTCTGTGAGGTGCCAACAGTAAGCAAGGCTCAACTACAACAGAAGGGCACACAGAGTTCACATAGGGGTATGGGGGAGGGGGACAGCTGGAGCCCCTGGCTCAGGGTACTGTGGAGGCTGGCCACTAGGGCCTACAGAACACCTGTTACATAAAGCCACTCTTCTAAGACCAGGAGACCTAGTAGCTCTACCTACTACATAGAAACAAACAGAGAAGCAGCCAAAATGAGGGGACAAAGAAACAGATCCCAAATAAAAGAACAGGAGAAATATCCAGAAAAGGAAGTAAATGCAAGGCAAACAAACTAACAAATACAGAATTCAAAATAATGGTTATAAGGGTACTCAAGGAACTTAGTGAGAACTTCAATAGCATAAAACAAACACATGTGGAAAGCATACAAAGAACCAGTCAGAAATGAAGAAGATAAAAAATATGAATAATAAAATGGCAATAAGTACATATGTAACAATTACTTTTAATGAAAATGGATGAAATGCTGCAATCGAAAGACATACAGTGACTGAATAGATAAGAAAACAAGACCCTTGCATATGTTGTCTATAAGAGACCCACTTCAGATCAGAAGACACACATAGGGTAAATGTATGGAAAAAGATATTCTATGAAAATGAAATCAAACAAACAAAAAGTTGAGGTAGCAATACTCATACCAGACAAAATTGACTTTAAAACAAAGGCTATATAACAGGAGACAAAGGAGAACCCTGCAATTTCACTTTTGGGCATTTATCTGAAGAAACCCAAAACACTAAATCAAAAAGTCATATGGTCCCAGCTGGTGTGGCTCAGTGAATAGAGCATCAGCCTGTGGACGGAAAGGTCACCGTTTTGATTCTGGTCAAGGACACATGCCTAGGTTGTGGGCTTGATCTCCTGTGGGAGGTCTGAAGAGGCAGCTGATCAATGATTCTCTCTCATCATTGATGTTTCTTCTCCCTTTTCTCTCAAATCAATAAAAATATGTATTTTTAAAAAAGGACATACACACCCCTATGCTCACTGTAGCATTATTTACAATAGCCAAGATAAGGAAGGAACCTAAGTGTCCACCAATAGATGAATGAGCCCTAGCCAGATTGACTTGGTGAACAGAACATTGGCCTGCGGACCAAAGGGTCCTAGGTAGATTCTGGTAAAGGGCACATACCTTGGTTGCAGAATCCTCTCTGGCCTAGGCCCTGGTTGGGACACATGCAGGAGGCAACCAATCAATGTGTTTCTCTCACATCAATGTTTCTCTCTGACTTTCCCTTTCTCTTCTACTCTCCCTAAAAATCAATGCAAAAATATGTTCAGGTGAGGATTAAAAAAAGTAGATGAATGAATAAAGAATAAGTGGTATATATCAACAATGGAATATGATTCAGCCGTAAAAAAACACACATGAAATCTTGCCATTTGCAACAACATGGATGGACATAGAGGGTATTGTACTGAATGAAATAAGTCAAAGGCAAATATTATATGTGGCATCTAAAAAGCAAACTAAATAAGCAAACAGAACAAGAACAGGCTCATAGATAGAGAACATTTTGATGGTTGTCAGATGAGAGGGGGCTGAGGGCTAGGTGAAAAGGTGAAGGGATTAAGAACGAATTGGTAGTTACAGAATAGTCATGGGGATGTAAAGTACAATGTAGAGAATATAGTCAATAATAACTCAGTATGGTGTCAGGGGGTACTAGGTTTATTAGGGTGATCACTTAGTAAGTTACATAATGTTTAATCACTGGGTTGTAGACCTGAAACTAATATAATATTGTATGTAAACTAACTGAAAAATAAAAAAAATATTTAAAGTAAAACAAATTCTCTACAGGTTTGAATATTTCTTAAGTCGACACATTCATGTCAGAAAGAGCTTAGCAATGGACTGAGGAGAAGGATGTCCACGTCCATTGTATCTATAGCACAGAACAGCTTTTTCATAAATGATTCTGTGCTACTCTAGACAACCAAGGAAAGGTCCTATCCTAAAGTGAGGGTTGGGTGGGCTGAAGACAAGGAGTGGAATCTGAGGCCCGCCCTGTTCCCAGCACAAACAGCAGGCACAGTCTCCATGCAGGCTCCACAGGAGAGGCTCTGAGTTCAGAACAGCAACCTAAGCATTCCAACAACTGAGGAACAGTTCCAGAAAAAGTGCAAACTCAAGAAAATGCCCAGTTCTGGAGATATGTGTCTTCCCTCACCAGACCCCACAGTGGGCAGCACAGTGGGAGAGAAAAGACCCAATCAGGCGCTTCACCAGGAATATCACGACTGAGGTCAAGTGGAGGCCCCAAAGCTTGAGAAGAAAGAGCAGATGGTTCATACATGAACCAGAATAGCACTGGACTCCGCAAGAACAAATCTGGGAGTGAAAAGGCAGGAGTACATCAATGACTTTCAAGTGACAATAGGACATTATTTTCCTCTTGAATTCTGCATCAGGCCAAACTACTCAAGGTCAGGGCAGGGAAGAAATGGCATTTTTCAGAGATGCAGGTCCTAGGGGGCTAGTGGAGGATGGGCTTAATGCCAAGTGAGGGAGTGAAAGCAGGAGCTTGGGCTCCTGGGAGCAGGGGCTGGGAGTCAGAGGGGTGAGGGTCCCCACGAGGAGCACAAAAATGGCTCAATTGGATCCCAGACCAGAGCAGGAGAGGGGACGGCTCTAGGGCAGGCGTCGCCAAGCAAAAGGTCAGAGCTGATAAAGTTGTCACTTTCCAAAGAAATGCCTGTCTTCCTGTAGAGTTTTGAGAAGAATGTGTAATTGACACGTAGAAAATTAAACAAACAGGCAAGGAAACATTAATTTCAGGAAAATAAAAATTCTAAGAAATAAACGTGATTACCATCTATGACATGATTCAGCTGCAAACAGCATTTATATGGCCCCAATAATGTGAGCCGTGGGTACTGATTCACCCCAGCTGTGAGTAACACTCTATTCGATTACCATACATCTGGGGCCTGGCACACACACACACAACCCAAGCACCAAATGTCTCTGGAAAGATACTCAAGGAATGGGTGACTCAGATACCCATTGGCAGAGATTTGGGGGTTGGAATGGGAGAGAGAAATTTGAGAGTTGAAATGTTCTACGACATGAATTCCCTGCTTTAAAAAAGATATAAAATTCCCATGAGATTCTGGTCAAATAGAAACATGTGACCATGTAGAACCACAGGACCCATACAGATTGTGACCGTGGCGTCTAGACAGGAACCACCTGGGCACATCACAGGGCCAGCAGCTGCAGAGCCGTCACAGCAGGGCTGCCTTGCCTGGGCTGGCCCCGGGACAACATCCTAAAGGGACACACAGCGCCCCTCTGTTCCCGGGAGCTGCCCAGCTGGGCCGGACTGCTCAGAAATGGCTCATTCGTAGCAGCTAAGCTCCAGGGTCTCTTGAAAGAAATACATAAAGGACACATGTTGTACGTTTCCACTTATAAGAGGTCCCTAGAGTAGAGAAATAGAAAAATGAGCATGGACTAGAGGTTACCAGCGGCTGGGAAGAAGGACGGGTAGTTAGAATTTCCTGGGCAAGGAGTCTCTGTTTAGAAATGATGGTGGTGATGGCTGCACTACAAGGTGAATGTACTTAGTGCCAATGATGTGTATGCTCAAAAAGGGCTAAAATGGTCACTTTTATTTGTGTACATGTTACCATGATAAAAAAAAAAAAATGAAAAAAATTTTTTTCTTAAATAAACACAACGATGCACTGGTAGGTGTCCTGTTACAGATCAAATGGTGCAGGTGGCAAGCCATGGTCACCTGTGTGCAAAGCCTTGTATGCATTGAGCTGAAGGAAGTCTTCTGATTATGAAGCAAGTCACAGAGTGTCAGAGGTCTGGGGCTAATAATAGCATTTCCAGTTGATGGTTTGACTTCAGAGATTATGACCTTTTTTTCTATACGTTTTGCTGCTTTCCCATGTACAGTCCCATTTCAGGGCTGCCAGAAGCAGCACGTGTGCAGCCCCCACAGGACAGCTGCAGGCAGGGGCTTATCAAATACCCGCTGCTCAAGGAACCCACTGGGATTCAAACTGACCTTTACATCTTCACACACAAAAACCCACTAAGAAAGCATAGTCCTCCAGCCTCAGTGATGGGAACCACCACAAGTCCCTCGACTGCACAGAAAACAAACCACAAAAACAGTCCCTTCGCCACAAATCGCAGGTCACTAGGTCTGCGGGGCCTACTGGCCACAGGAGCAACAGCTGCTGTTTTTGCTGAGGGTTATCTCCCAGTCCCTGGGCCCTGAGGGCCAGTGCCCCTGGGATGCTTTGCTGGGAGGGAGTCCTGGGAGGGTTGCCATCCCTACACCAGACCTGAGAGCTAACTATATTCCAGTGGGGCTACAATCAATGGAAAGAGACCCACTGTGCAGACTCAGGGTATTAAACAACACCCTGAATGCACCTGTGGAGCTGCACAGGCAGAAAACAAGCCTGATTTGTATTGTGGAGGCACTTGCTTTTGAACCGTCGTCACCGCGTATCATTTAGATAGGAAGAGGAGAACACCTACCTGAAGGATGCGATCACTGCTGTGACTTCATCATCGGGGTAAAAGTGAGTGACTGCATGATGTGCCCCACGCAATTCCTTCCCATCCTTCCACCAAGAAATATGGGTGTCCTGGTACGTGTTAGGTATGCTGATGGAGCAATTGAACTTGACATCATTGTGTTCAGATGGCATTATGCGGCCAACCGTGTGATTAAATGCCAGAGGCGGCAGGCGCTTGGGCCTGGCCACCGTCGCGCTGGGAAGGGCTGCATTTTCTCTGCTGCGTCTTCTGGGTGGGACTGGTGACACCACCACCGAGGGCTTGGGCCCCGGGGAGAGGGGAAAGGAGGATGGCACCAGGTCAGCCAGGCCGGTGGGGACGGGCAGGTGGAGCGTGGTTTCTTCCCTCACCTCAGCGAGAGCTGCAAAACAGAACAATGATTTTTAGCCTTTTAGATACTGGTGTTGCCCTAGTGGTCGGCAGACTCATTAGTCAACAGAGCCAAATATCATCAGTATAACGATTGACATTTCTTTTGAGAGCCAAATTTTTTAAACTTAAACTTCTTCTAATGCCACTTCTTCAAAATAGACTCGCCCACGTCGTGGTATTTTGTGGAAGAGCCACACTCAAGGGCCCAAAGAGCTGCATGTAACTCTCAAGCCACACAGTTTGCTGACCACGGCCCTAGCTGGTTTGGCTCAGTAGATAGTGTTGGCCTGCGGACTAAAGGGGTCCTGGATTCGATTCGGGTCAAGGTCATATGTCCGGGTTTTGGGTTCAATCCTCAGTTGGGGGGCATGCAAGAGGCAGCCGATCAATGACTCTCTTTCTCATCATTGATGTTTCTATCTCTCTTTCCCTCTCTGAAATCCATAAAAATATATTTTTTTAAAAAACCTCAAAAAGCGTCAGGGTAATTTGCAACTCCCCCCCCCCTTTTTTTTTGACCCCTCAGGGTACAAACCAAATGCTCTGGGCTCTAGGACAGAGACCACAAATTCCTTCATTGTTATTGTTAGCATGTTAATTGTTGACTATTAACTATCCTGTACCCACCTAAGTAAAGGAAGTATGTGCCTATACTTTTACTTTTTAGACAATTCCAGAGGTTTCCCTGCTTTGCTTTCTCCCACCTCTCTAGTCTATTGCCAATGAATTTCATGCAACCCACCTACATCCCCTCCTTTGATTCTAATGTATAAAAATAGATGAAAAACCTCCATTCTTGGGAGCATTATCCCAATCTATTGAGATTCTGTTTCCTGGCAATTGTCGACAGTTTGGCTCAAATAAACTCATAAGATTCTTTGAATGCTTTTATGTTAACATTATGCAATATACTCCCCCCTGTCGGGTACAAGAAACTGTCCTCTGCCTTCAAGGTTTTTCTGGCCAGACTAATAATCAAATAGACACAAGGCATATTAATGAGACAATAATCAAATTTAACACATACATATGTATGGGAACCCGCATACCTGAGAGAGTCAGAGACCCCACGTGCACGAGGTGCAGAGACAGAAAGAGAACAAGGTTATGTGAGGCCCCTTGAGCTAGGGAGGAGATGAGGTGCCTTGGGGGCTTCAAATGGTCATTGCAGGGCAATAAGAAGAGCACATGTTTAGTAAATAGAAGTTTGTCCTGCCCTAGAGACAGGTTACAAAAGGCTATGGCTGGTAACTTCTTATTATGGGCAAAGCCCTAATTCAAGTTCTTCTGGATAGTGTAGGGAGGGCAGAAGTTTCCCTGGAGCCAACAGGGGGCTAAAGTTGCCTTTAGCAACAATCCGCATACCACAGAGATACAGCTAGGAGCCTCCTTCTGAACCGCACACACCATTGAAGGAGATTTTTTGTGACTCATGCCAAGTCCTTCATGCCCAACTCAACAGCATGGCAGGAAGGGATGGCACCTGAGATCACTGTCGATCTGGCCAGTCACAAGAGTGTCCCACTATCTGGCCAATAAGCCTTGGGAAGCTGCTACTGGTCACCAAGAGACCCATCCCAGGGGGTGGGGGTGGGGATCAAAGTGTGCTCATGCCACCTTGGAACTTCTAGCAAAATGCTTGCCAGCTGGATACTGAAACCGGTTTGGCTCAATGGATAGAGCGTCAGCCTGCGGACTGAAAGATCCCGGATTCGATTCCGGTCAAGGGCATGTACCTGGGTTGCGGGCACATCCCCAGTAGGAGGTGTGCAAGAGGCAATTGATTGATGTTTCTCTCTCATCAATGTTTCTAACTATCTATCCCTCTGCTTTCTTCTCTGAAAAAAAAAATCAACAAAACATATTTTAAAAAAATGCTTGCCAGCTGGAATGGATCTAGAAACGTTTTCATTTAATCTGGCTCAAAATTATTTCTAAAAATATAGGCTCATAATAGTTGCTTTTAGCTTTTTTAATGGCATTTTTGGAGCATATGTTCTATGCTGGTTGCTATGTGTTCAAACATGTTTGCCATAATTCTGGTGAAACAGGCAGGTAGGCGAAGCAGGCCTGACATTCTGTGGGTGGTGACTGGGGGTTTACCAAGGACCCCATCCCTGCTCCAGGACTGTGCCTCCTGTCACATTAATGTGTCACACCCTCCTGGGCTCCTGAGTGGGGGTGTGCAGAGCAGGGTGGTCGCGGCGAGGGCTATGCCAAATTCAGTGAATAAGGATGCACAACGCCAGGCTGGACTTTGGGTGGTGAACACACAATACAACATACAGATGATGCATTACAGAACTGTACACTGGAAACCTATCTAATTTCATTAACTAATGTTACCCCACACATTCAATAAAATAAAAAATAAAAAAACACAAGAAAAAATAAATACAATTTAAAGAAAGAATGCATAGCAACAACTAAAACTTGTAATTCCCATCACTAGCAAGTAATTTCTAGGATAGGCATCCAGATAATAAAGAAAAAACAAAAACAAAAAACTACCCAGCTAAGCACTTATTTGGCTAATGGAGTTACTACAAGCGGGAGATGCGAGGGCAGAAGGAGGCTCCCGAGAATGTACTCCTCTGGCTTCTTCCCTGCCGAGTCCCTCAGGACTGCACACGCCTCAAAAAAGGGCCACAGCTCTGCTCACTGAGTCCTGTCCACACGCCTTTCTCCCACCAGGTGCACTGTCAGGGAATGCCCCTGGGTGAATGCCGGGTGGAGGAGAAGAGGTTTCACTGGAAGGAATCAAGAACATTCACTGCTGGTCCCTACACAGAGGTCTCAGTGTGGGCAGGGCCCTCTGCCTGTGTGGTGGAGGACAGTGGGGGCCAGCCTGGGCGGTCAGCCTGACGGATGAGTGTGTGCTGGGGCTGCAGTGTTCATTTACTCCAGGGAGAGGAGGTCAGGGTGACTGGACCACCAAGCCTGATGCAGTGTGGGCCTGTGCTCTCAGTAGGAGAAGGCAAGCCCAGTGCCTGGGTCCCATCCAGCCCCCGTCTTTCTCTGGTTTGAGGTGCTTTCTGCAGCAATGAATGCTCCTGCTATTTACTAAGCCACGTGCACTGTGTTCTACAGGCTTCGAAGCCCTCCGGCCCACCTCTGCCTCTTCCATCAGCAAACCTATGTTTGCCAGCTCACTGAGTTCCAGGGCCCTAGGGAGTGGGGGGCTTTATCCAAATCCCCATTTTTTATTTTTCTTTAAATATATGTCCCTTTTATGGAAGGCAAAAAGTGGGGCAAGGAAAGCAAATGACACTTTCTTGGATTTGTTTAATTTATTTGAAAACATTTGACCTTTCTGATTATAAAGGTAACACAGTGTATTGTGAAGAATTCAAATATAGGGTATTCCCCTCCCCTTAGCACCCCATCCCCCAATGTATACACAACAGACTAATGGACTGCAGCCAGCCCGATGCAGTCCTGGGCCGGCTATAACATGGAATGGAAACTTTGGACTCTGACTGTGCTTCTCGCTTTACTGAAACCGCACCTACACTTCTAGGACTGCACTCAGGGAAATGAGACTTTGGACACCCAAGGATATAATTCCCCGCAAATAAATCACTCATTCTGTGCGACTCTCAGAAAATTCTTTCTCTCCAGATATCATAAGGACTCTGCCCCCACCCCCCAGTGGGGAAAACGACACCCCGCTTTGCCCAGTACCAGTGGCAGGAGGATTGGAACAGTGGTTGGCCAGCAGCTCTGCAGTTGGGGCCCCCAGCTGCTCACACTGAGACATGTCCTCAGGGGAAGTGCCTGTTCCCCTGCCAGGTGACGGTCAGGTCCCTCATGGATGGAGGTGATGGATGACAGGACCGCAGCGCACTGTGCAGGTCCCGGCCTCTGTGGGAGTGAGCGCCTGGATCACCAGGGGGGTGTGTGTTAGACAAAGCACAGAGAACGGCAACACGGGAGCCGGGTAACTGCCGGCCAAAAATGAGAGGAAAAATATACTTCCAGCCTCCGGCCAAAGAATCTGGGCTCTGAGGAACCTGTCTAGGTTGGCCTCCACACTCTCTCCTGGCATGAGTTCCCTAAGTTCCCCTGAAGACTCGGATCTCAGCCCACGGAAGGTGCAGGAAGCCGCAGCTGCTGAAGGCATGGGCCCAGAGCAGCAGGTGCCTTGGCTGCGCTGCGCTGCGGGGACTCCTGGCCCTGGAGCCTGGGGAGATGGAGTGCCTTCGGGCGTCCGATGCCCTCAGGCCGCTTTCCAGTCCTATGAACTGAGTGGTGGGATGAGGGCGGGACTGAAGCACCCACGTAGGGGGCCTCTGGCCTGCTCTTTCTCAGACAGCAAGGTGGGCAGAGGCAGGAGCACGACTCTCTGAAGTTCAGCCCTAGCATCAGTGGGGGAGACCAGGGAGAGGGATGTTGAGGGGGCGCTGCAGGAGGGAGGGGTATCTTTGAACTCCCAGGGGTTCTCTGCCTCACGGGTGGAGCATATGAGCATAGAGCAGGATGGCAGATGGGGGTGGGTGCTGCCCGGTGCCCCAAGCTTGCTGCCTGTCTAGCAGCCCTGCAGTGCAGTAGAGAGGCCCCTTCTGGGGTGGGTCAGTGTTTACAGAAAGGCTTGAGGCCTCTGGAATCCCATTTTTGTCTGCACCCCAGTCCCCGGAGAGAGACAGTGCCTGGATGGGTGTCTGCCATTTGCGTCTTGTCTCTAGGCCATTCCCCTGTCCCAGTTTAAGAACTCCTCCCCCTGCCCCTCTGGCTGAAGCCAAACCCAGAACAAACTTTCTACTCAGTGTTGTTTCATTTTATGCAAAAGCCAAGAATACTCCCCTGATAAAGAACAGTGACAATAATGTAGGAGAGAAAGCTTTCTAAAAACCTTCAACCTGAGATCACGTGACCCCAGGTGCCCAAGTAGTCGCTGGAGATTAAGCTTAGTCGCCTGGAGTGAGCTGGCCTGACAGGGGCCTCAGGGTAGAGTGTGAGTTGCCTGAGCCTGAGGGGGCACCGCTGCCT